GCGACATCATATTATGTAGAAGATCATATTGTAGCGGGCATTTCTAGGCAGTATATCACACAGCAAGCGACATATCTAGGTAGCAGGGTGCCGTTGTACAAAGAAACCTTAGCGCTACGCCAGTCGTAAGTCTACGTTAAGGTATGGGATCACCTTAGTGGTCAGATCGCTTCGTACAACGGCACCCTGATCACATGGCCAGCGACACTATCATCTAGGTAGTATATCAAATAGCTGGCGACATATCATCTAGGTAGTATATCAAATAGCTGGCGACATATCATCTAGTAGTATATCAAATAGCTGGCGACATATCATCTGGGTAGTATATCAAATAGCTGGCGACAGAACATCTAGGTAGTATATCAAATAGCTGGCGACGTATCATCTAGGTAGTATATCAAATAGCTGGCGACGTATCATCTAGGTAGTATATCAAATAGCTGGCGACAGAACATCTAGGTAGTATATCAAATAGCTGGCGACATATCATCTGGGTAGTATATCAAATAGCTGGCGACAGAACATCTAGGTAGTATATCAAATAGCTGGCGACATATCATCTAGGTAGTATAACAAATAGCTGGCGACATATCATCTAGGTAGTATATCAAATAGCTGGCAACATATCATCTAGGTAGTATATCAAATAGCTGGCGACATATCATCTAGGTAGTATAACAAATAGCTGGCGGCATATTATCTAGGTAGTATATCAAATAGCTGGCGGCATATAATCTAGGTAGTATATCAAATAGCTGGCGACATATCATTTAGGTAGTATATCAAATAGCTGGCGACAGAACATCTAGGTAGTATATCAAATAGCTGGCGACATATCATCTGGGTAGTATATCAAATAGCTGGCGACAGAACATCTAGGTAGTATATCAAATAGCTGGCGACATATCATCTAGGTAGTATAACAAATAGCTGGCGACATATCATCTAGGTAGTATATCAAATAGCTGGCAACATATCATCTAGGTAGTATATCAAATAGCTGGCGACATATCATCTAGGTAGTATAACAAATAGCTGGCGGCATATTATCTAGGTAGTATATCAAATAGCTGGCGACATATCATTTAGGTAGCATATCAAATAGTTGGTGACATATCTAAGTAGTATATCAAATAGCTGGCGGCATATCATCTAGGTAGTATATCAAATAGCTGGCGACATATCATCTAGGTAGTATAACAAATAGCTGGCGGCATATTATCTAGGTAGTATATCAAATAGTTGGTGACGTATCTAGGTAGTATATCAAATAGCTGGAGGCATATCATCTAGGTAGTATATCAAATAGCTGGCGACAGAACATCTAGGTAGTATATCAAATAGCTGGTGACATATCTAGGTAGTATATCAAATAGCTGGCGGCATATCATCTAGGTAGTAAATCAAATAGCTGGCGGCATATCATCTAGGTAGTATATCAAATAGCTGGAGACATATCTAGGTAGCATATGAAATAGCTGGCGACATATCATCTAGGTTGTATATGAAATAGCTGGCGACATATCATCTAGGGAGTATATCAAATTGCTGGCGACATATCATCTTGGTAGTATATGAAATAGCTGGCGACATATCATCTAGGTTGTATATGAAATAGCTGGCGACATATCATCTAGGTAGTTTATCAAATAGCTGGCGGTATATCATCTAGGTAGTATATCAAATAGCTTGCGGCATATCATACTGGGTAGAAAATCATATTATTAGTGATATAACATTTAGGCTGTAAATCACTTAAAGCAAGCGACATATCATCTGAGTATAGCATATCACATACCTAGCGACATATCAACTTATTTTAGCATGAATCTCCGTAATACCTTATCCGTAAGAATGCAGGTGCGTCGGTTTATAGTTCAAAATGTAACATAACTTTTCAACTCCACAATATTTTAAACGAGTTTACGTCTTCGTAAGGCACCGGAGTTCACAAAGCACTCCATAATGACCTCTGCAATTACTTCAGTAACACCATATCCCAAATAGGACCCGGTGACTCGATACGACAGACACAGAGGCAATGACATAGCACACCTTGAACGAAAAGATATCCTTTTTATCAAAATATTTTTTTACAGTTTCCAAAGAGTAAAACAAACACCGTGTTTACACACTGGTCCATAGGGAGAACGAGCTGCGGAGCTGAAAACAATGGACAGTTACTCTGTCGTCATGTTCTGCAAATAGTTTTTACACTTCATATGTATTCAAACAAACAGCCCATGTATAGCATTGTTGAAATAAACTAAGTTTTCACCAACGGTGTATTTTGATTGCAACTGTAAAAGACATTGCACGCCAAGTTCAGCCAGTGAATGCGTCTGTATTGCAGCATTTGATTCAAATACGTGATTGTTGTTTTTCTGAACCTGTATTTTCTGCATGAGTGAGTTATGGTTTAATCCGTTTTGTCGATATTATACCAGAATTCCAACAATTGGCTTTATACATTGAACGCACCTCGAAAATCTAACCTGAGACTTCGACGAGACTGGTGAAGTTTTAGCCACAAGGCTACTGAATATTTTGTTGAATAGTTTACGTATAATATTGAATCTGTGATATTTGACTTGCTCTTTTACTGTCTTTAATTCAGTATATTGATTCATATATATTTATGAAGTGAGTACAATATATTTGTCCTCGTGACTATATGGCTGAAATATTGCTCGATATGAAACATATTCACTCATTCATTCCATAGTTTCTTATATAGACAATAGAACATATACTGGACAAAATAAGTTTGGGATATTGGTAATTATATGATTGATATTTTATCAGTGTGTCAATGATTATTCATAATTTCAAAATTTACGTATATCCCTAACTGTATTTTTGTCCAGTATATAGTACCGTATTCTATATTTGAATTGGAACCCGTGACCTTTCTTGAGGAGTCGTGGCTACGTCCCTTAAATAAACCAGACAACATACAAGGCAAACGACAATAAAGGCTGTATATTATATTTTTGGACAGTTAAACACAGTTGTGGGGAACATAAGGTTGTCTTCAAGTAAAACTCTGCCCCCTGCGTATTCTTCAATTTATAATTATTTTGCGGTTGTACTGAACCCCAGCTATCTCGCAGTACTTACGTAGGTCCCTTGGTCCTCGTTGACAAAAAAAAATTGTTTCATTGTATATGATATATTTCGCTACTAAATATAAACACTGAGAAAAGTGACTGAGCTACGCCGATTTAGCAATAGCCACGACGGGGCACAACAGAAATTTACAGGCTTCACATAGTGTCCATGTCTGATATCGACTCTGGAACTTCAGAATCAGACTGACAGACGAACCCACTGCACCGGTATTAAGAAAATGAGAGTACGTTAAGATGGGCTTCTTCGGAATTATTACTTTTTTTAATGATGGTGTTCGACTGTTGCCAGACAGTTACATGAGAAAGTGGAACTTCGGAATTAAAGGGAAAACATCGGAATCGGAACCGAAGTTATAGAACAAACATATATCCTTTTTTTTTGTGTGGGACCAATTCTTAGTTTTATGTGGCAAAACATACATACATATATGCAATATACATTGTACTTACTCAACTGTTTGGAAGTAAATGACTTTCAACGCCTTATTTATTTGTTTTAAACAACGCACCGTCCTGGCTGATTAAAGGCCAAATGAATGTCGCGTCACTCCATCGAGGTGCACGTGAAACATGTTTACTACGTTCTGTGCACGTGTCCAGGGTTTTGTGAAATGTCGTGTTTTAAATGTGTGTACACATTCATATAAACTGTACAGAAAATAGAGTATATTTCTCTTTGTACATGAATCGTCACTTTAAGCCCAGCTTTAATAATTGATACATTGAACTTAACATGATCAGGTACCAATTTGCTTCACTTAATTGAATGGCAATTCACATGCAGTGGTTATGCCCCATACCTACCCGACACTCAACTTGTTACCTGTCTCAGTGTCTTGTTCTAGGGTTTTGCTTCTTGGGTGAATAATTGGCATAATGAATGAGTGAGGGTACGGTTTTACGCCGCTTTTAGAACTATTCTAGCAATTTCACGGCGGGCCGGGGGCAGGAATTTGCTAGGCATTTTGCACACATGCGGGGAATCGAACCGTGTCTTCGGCGTCACGAGCGAACGTTTTAACCACTGACCTACCCCACCAACAATAATACTAGAATAGGAGCCGTTCCCCAAAGACTTCGTAGTTTTAAGATGATCGTAACTTTACGGAGCAGGGTCTCGATCCACAAAACGTACGTAGCGCTACGACATTCGTAAGCCTATGATAAACTATAGAGTTACGACAGGTCGTAACGTTACGAACGCATTGTAAATCGGGAACCGCGGCCCTGGTAAACAAAAATCATTTCTCCTTCTTGATCTGGAGGCCGATCCCTACATACTGGGTTGCGTCACTTTATAGTGACCGGATATGATCTCCATGGATTCCGAATACAAGATTCACCTTGATGATTCATTGGTTAACCAGGAACATATCCATACTTTTCATATTTAAGGTTTGTATCAGTTAGGAATTTCTGCCCATATTACACTAAGTTGATCGCCTTCTTGTGACTGAAACACTGTTCAAAGTAAGTTATAAATTCACTCCCTCAGGTGTATTTGGTTTGAAAATTACTTACCCATATCTCACACTTGCGCCACCGTTGGTTCAATCTGCTGGTGGTTCGATCACTGGGTTCCATAATACCAAAGACATTAAAAGCTGGTATGGCCAGGATTAGTTCCAACAGCCATGCTGATGATAATTCACTCACTCATCTGACAAGGGTTGTCGCTCATGCTACCAACCACTGATAAACCAGGATGATGCTACCTTATTAATACAGCTTGTTGAATTTCGCTTATATAACATACACACATCTCGGCCTCATGTCATCTGCATGGCGAACACAAAGGGGAGACAACTGTGTTTCTAAATGTCAGGTGTACTCCAGCCTTTCATCAAATGATGACAAAAGAATATATTCATTGACAATGCATTTTTATTCAGCATATATTTAATGAGTCGAATCATTCAGTCAGACGATCTAACCTATAAAAATACATCCCATAATGCACCAGTTGCAGTGAAGCAGACGACTGGACAGTGAAGGGAAGACTCCTTTTACAGCTTAAACTTTCCAAAATATCAACAAAGTAAACAAACTCTTCAACAAGTCTGGACATTCCATGATATGATTAAATGTTCGTACAAAATTTACAATGTGGTGGGTATACTGTGACCACGTGATAGCAAAACACTCCGAAGGTTTTCATTTGATTAAATATCGATTTAACATCACTTGATCAGCCATTTTGATATCTAGCATGTATACATATCACAGAGCATCAATCAAAATAGTTACAAATACAATTAAATTAAATTTGAAATGAAGTATACACTTATGAGTACATTTCAATATAACCAAAAACAATAATTTAACACTACCTCAAATGAAGTGCATAAACAATTATCAAAGGCACAGATAGCAAATTTTGATCCAAAGTTTGTTCTTTGAACATGCACCAATCTATTTTCGATGTGAAATCTCGCAAGCTATTGCTTATCAAAGGCATAACCATAAATGTAACAAATATACAACCTTATTTACATATTTACTCTCGTTTGTACAAATTGTATATTACACAGAATACAATATATTCTACATGAGTATTTCATATGACTTAAAAAGTTAGTATTGCTGAGGTCACATGACCTGATCACATGACACAACAAGATGAGGTATTGCTGAAGTAGGATGTTAAGTCTCCCACAATGCTTTGCATATTGAAGTCAAGGATTATGGTACCACTGTACGATTTCTACCTTTCCCCTTTGTAAGAAACAGCTGCGAAATGTTTACGAAAGACAAAGGCTTGAGTCTTACAAATGGAGGTAGGACTATTAAGTAAGTCTCCTCTCTAGGATCACATTCCATCTGAGTCAAAACCATGTTTTCAATACAACTACACATACATAAAGTTGAGAAAAAATAATAAATAAACTCATTAAGTGTCAACTTATCTAATTTTTCACATAGCACTTTTAGTTTGAATGAAATTAATTATTTCAATCCATATTTCATATTAACAATATTTCATTTTGTTTTATATATTAAACAAAAGTTTTGTATGCAGTGCCATGTGATATACCCTTGCTATCTAACTGTTACAAGAACAGTGACTTGTCATTGTCTATTCTATCGCTGTCACATAGTCAATATTGATAAAACTTGTAAATCTGCTCACTATTCATTTGTTGATTTATTCACTGTGCCTATGCACTGGTCAAAACCTATTTACTCTATTAAGTTACTGTTCTTCCATAAAAAAAATACACTTTCACAATAGTAATACATATCTAAAATAAATACCAAAACTTTTATAAAACGATTAATTTGATTCATGCTAAATGAGGATTGGTGAAATTAATTATCAAATTTTAATGTTTAAATGAAGTAATTTTTGTTATGAAGTGAAATAAAAACATGAAAACAAGTTGAGTAACATAACTGTGACATCAGATGCTGCGAAAGACCCTGCAGAATGAAACCTTCCGTGCTTGATTGGAAGATTCTACCTGCGATGATGTCCCATGAATGGCAGTCAGTTGTGATCAACAATGTTCAACATACACCACTGGTAGCCACAATACTGTGAATACTGTGACAATGTTGTTGGGCTTCGCCACAGTCAGTGTAACACAAGACACGTCCTAGTGAAAACGTCCTAGGAATATTTCACGGCACAGCTGGGTCCTAATGACCAAGAACATCCCACGACAGCACTGAACTAGTCTAGGACAGTAGGTTATTGGCAGTGAGGCTCTACAAGGTTCAAAGTTCAAAGTTCAAATATTCTTCCATTCACTCATTAGTCAAATGTTCTGGCACACTTCCTACACGTTGAACTCTACACACACGCACTCACACATACACACTAATGTCTGCTGCAAGTGACGTCTGCTCCAAGATGACGTCTGCTAGACATATGATATGTCTGTATAACAGTCTATTTCTTGATCAGACAACCCACTTCCACTCTCTTTCCGCCGAAACGGATACAGACTAAGTGTGTCGAGGTCTTCCGAAGAGGATGAGAAGGACCCATAGTCTAACGATTGTGGTCCGAACTTGCGAGTTGAAACAGACTTATGTGTCTTTGTTGAAGAACTATGATTGCTGGCACTGCCGTTACTGCTGTTACTAGATGTGCTCAGACGTGAATTGTCTGCAAGGCGGCGGAAGGGAGGTGGTGACTTGTAAGGTGGGGGTCCGGGACGCGAGGTAGACGTTATTGTGACGGATGACACTGAGCGGGAGGTCTTCTGTTCGGGAGCGTAAAAGTGAGATGAAGTCGTGGTTGTGATATCATCTGACTTTGCAGCAAACTTCTGCTTCAGTTGACTGACACTCCAAGGAAGGTCATGACTGGCTGAGGAGGAACTACTTTCTGTTGGATTATTCACAGTTACAGTTACCAAACTATGTGCTTTGCTTTTCGACTTGTCTACGTTTAACACACTGGAGGAAGTAGAAACGTTCTGAGTGGACACTTTAGAAGAATACTGATTCTGAGTGGAGGAAGAAGAGGCCTGTTTCTCCTCTCTCGGTTCGTAAAAGTATGTTGTCCTCTGTATGTTGTGCACAGGGCTGGTGTCCAGCCGGCCCCTCTTCTCCTCATTCTCTTTGTTAATATCATAATCACGCCTTGACACACGTGGACTGTACCGACTGAGTTTGTTAAGTCTGTCAGCAGAGTCACTCAAACTTCGATGCACACCCGGCAAAGTAAGAGTAGTCTTAACTCTTTCATTGGATTCCACTTTTGAATATGACCCGGATTCATTATTTGTCCGTACACCCTCAGATTTTGAATATACTTTCGAGTCTGGTTTATAGGATCTCGAAGACTCTGGATCATAGCTTGCTCTAGATGAAAGACTGGTTTTCGAAAAAGCACTAGAATTTGATGAGGAACATGATGAAGGCCCATTGTCTCGTTCAACCTCATTCTTCTGGGTCACCTCAGACTGTTGTTCATAAAGCTTCATGGACTGGGCATAAACATCGCGAGGATTTTTTCGATGTTTATCATGTCGAAGAGTGACATAAATGTCTTCTTTCTCTTCATCCTCGTCTGGACTGAAGACCTGGACAACTTTAGAACTCTCCTCTCTAACAGTCCGATATGTCTTTGTCACAGGGTCTGTTGTCTGCTCAATGTGCTGCTTTAGGTGTGACGTCTGCTTCATGACATTTCCACTTTTATCGGAATCATCACTAGCACCATAATATTTCTTAACAGAGTCTGCATAAAGCTTTGCGGCACGAGCACTGGCCTCTTTCTGTCTCTGAGTATCTTGTTCAGAAATCTCCATGAGAGGAATCCCATGTTTTATTCGATAGTTCCTACTTAAAGCTTCCTGGTAGGAAGGAGGTTGATGTGGCCGTTTGCTTTCAAAGTCTAAATTTTCAGAAGATGTTTTTGACTCTGAGTCGTAATTGCGACCATAGTTCCTTAGTAACTTAGATTTTGACAAACTCTCTGGCAAGCTAGAAGTCCTGGATTCACAGTCATCATCACTTTTGGAAGCAGATTCTAAACTATTTCTCCTGATTTGTGAAACAATAGCACTGTCATGACTGGCTTTCACTGGGGTGGAGTCCTTCCTTGGTGACATCCTCTGCCCCTGCAGCCGTGACTGAGAGCTGAGGCCCTGTGAGTACATTGAGATCTGCTTAACAGGAGCACCAGATGAAGAACCGCTTTCAAAACTCGCTCTCCTCACCTTATCACTAGAGTCATTGTCATCAAGACGCTCATCAGAGCCACTGGAACAGTACGTTATTGAAATCTGCGGAGACGTGGCAGCAGGAACTTCTTTCTGCACTGTTGTTTTATATGTTGCTGCTGGCACTGAATGTCTCGCACTTGGGTCTTTCACTGACTCCGAAGTCTTTACCCTCCTTTCCACAGCAGGAGATGCTGGAGGCGAAACTAAGTACCTCATGTTCTGCATGGATTTGAGAGTATATCCACCATAGGTTGCACTCAGATTGGTAGGCGATGTTGATTCCGTAGAGTTCACATTGGAATGAAGAGTTGTTGGATTTGAGTTGGATCTCTCTCTCTCCTCCAGCGACCACAACACACGATCTGAATCCACATCCGGCGTCTGGGGAGCTGAATTAATCGAGGTCCCTCGGGACAGGTCATGCATGTAAGAAGAGTCTGACAACACACTGTCATATGAACTACCGTACGAGTGCTTCGAGTGAGGAGAGAGAGGAGGTGTACTGTCTGTGACGGATGACTGCCGCACCAGTCTGTCCCGTCCCTGTCGGCCTGTTTGTCCCTCTACAGAGGAGACCCTCGGAAGGGTCTCACTGTCCATATACAGATGAGCACCGCTGGCTGACTTGATCAGATAAATGTCAGCGGATTTCCGGTGGCTAGAGAAATCCTTTTCACATTCTGCCTCTGTGCTTTCTTCCACGCTGTGCAGCGAGTCACATGAGATTCTTTTCTGGAGTTGCATCTGACGCAACACTTCTGGCTCCAGTGAATGACAAAGACGAGCACCAGAGGAGTACGATGTTATGTACTGGCGGTTGTAGTTGTCAAAGCTTGAAGACTGCATATATTCTTTCTTTCGACGATATCGAGGAGGGGGAACAGGGTTCTGGTTGTCAAGGTTATCGATGGACCTTGTGTAGATGTCGTTGTCGTGGTCCATGTAGGATGTGCTGCGGTACATCTTCCTCTCGGTTGAGTCAAAGTCGCACTCCTCATCGTTGAGTTGGGAGTCACTGTGGGACAGACCGGAGTCGTGGCTGAGGTTGGATGGCGACAGATGACTCTTTGCCAGTTTGGGACTGGCATCAGCTTCTGTGTAGAGATCGCGGTCGACCAAACTATCAATGGATGAGTCGTCCCGTCTTAGGCCATCTGAAACAAGATAACAATTTTAGCTCAGTCTCTTTCGTAATTGATTCTTATAACAGATATTGGAATATATTTTACGCAGCCATGATTGTTTCTGCTTACATACCAAAAATACCCAACCAATAAACTCTCAGCAAATATGTTTCTGCTTACATCCAAAAAATATCCAACCAATAAACTCTCAGCAAATATGTTTCTTCTTACATCCAAAAAATACCCAACCAAACTCTCAGTAAATATGTTTCTGCTCACATTAAAAAAATATCCAACCAATAAACTCTCAGCAAATATGTTTCTGCTTACATCCCAAAATTACCCAACCAATAAACTCTCAGTAAATATGTTTCTGCTTACATCCAAAAACAAAACAACCAATAGACTTTCAACAAATATGTTTCTGCTTAGATCCCAAAATTACCCAACCAATAAACTCTCAGTAAATATGTTTCTGCTTACATCCAAAAACAAAACAACCAATAGACTTTCAACAAATATGTTTCTGCTTAGATCCCAAAATTACCCAACCAATCAACTCTCACTAAATATGTTTCTGCTTACATAAAAACCCCAACAACTCAACAACCCTTAGCAAATGGTTACAGCATTGCAATTGTAAAACACAGGTTTAAATTTGTTGTAGTAACTTTTATCATGGAAATATTTGACATAAATGTCTACTCACTATTGAGACTGTCTGAGTCTGTTCCTGAGTCCTGCCTCATCTTGTGGTCCACTTCGCCCAACAAGTGAGGAGTATCGTCTCCGAACACGCTGCATGCATTTTTTATCATAAACTCCACCACTGCGACGACAGAGCCCACGTTGACAGAATAATTGGCCATGTCGTCGTGTTTTTGCCATAGCAAACTCGGGGCAATGCAGACGGAGATATTGTTGGCAGTCATCATGTTAACATCTTGATGGTGGTCGATCTGGTACAGCACACTCATCAGGAGCTTCAGCAGGAGCTGGTTGCATAGCGGCATTTCATGATACAACCTGCAACAGAATTATTTGAATAAATAAACCTTGGATGTAACAGGAGCATTTAGAATTTTGTAATGATATTGTCCATAACCCCTTAAAGAGGGCTTTGTACTTTGTACCCATGTTGGATTCAATGTCAAGACTTTGCTTTGACCACAGACGTATGTTCTATGTATAGTTTTAGTTTGACAAAGAACACTTCCACTACTTGCGCTGAAGTTGAATCCTAAAATATAATCATCCAACTGACCAATATCTGATTTCAAGGCATAATAACCTTCACAGATGAAACATTCAGTAAAGTATTTCTTTGAAAGTATTAAACTGTTCAAAATATCATATCATTATACTTAGTGAATAAAATTCAAAAATATTTTCACTAACCAGATCAATAACTCAGTTTGTCATTTTTTTAGACAAGTTATACATGTTTTCTTAATTCAACACACAGAATAGAAATGTCCACCTGTTAAAATGCCAGCAAAAATTTCAGAACAAACTTAAAATTGCTTTACAAAAAAGGAGCGTATGCTTCCTGCTAAAACATGCCTGCACTTTTACAAATGTTTTTAATGAGTCTGCAACCTTCAACAGTCTGGGCCAGGACTTAAGACAAAGACAACAGAGAGAGAAATCATTAACAATGTTGACACAGCCATATTAAACGCCGAATGTTTTTTCCAATTGCTTCAAATTCTTGAAATGGGACGAAGAAGTCAAACAAAGTACGAGTCGGGCCTCAGTGTTGGGAACCTGTTGTGCTATACAGAGATGTTTCTCCGCTCTTCATTCCAAGCAGGTGGAATGCAGGACAAAGTCCACGACATACTGTCTACCCATCAACTTGTGTTTATTCAAATCCCTCTGTCCATCTTTCAAAGCCAGACCATTGCAAATGTCCTCCAACAATGTCAAGATACTGAAATCCTTCCTTCAAGGTTACTGTTGAGGTGTCAGTGCCACTGTTAGAAATGTTTCAGCATAGGCACATTCTAAATCGTGACTAATGACGCTGTCGCCTGAAGGGAACCAGAAGAGCCTTGATTGAGTCCTCAGCCCTAATTCTAGCCTATGTTACAAGTCAGATTCCGTAAACAACATACTGGTAAATGTTTGAAAGTGTGATCTGGGTCTTCAGTAAACGAGGTGCTAATTACAAGGCCAAGTTTACTAATATGACTAAGCTTAGCTCAAAATACAAGACTGTGCAAAGCTAATAGCCACACATGCCGACATGACGAAGGTGTTGACTTGTAAACAGTGGCCAGGCTTGCTAACTGGTAAATAGTATCTCAAGCACTTTTTCACAAAGGTGAGCTTCACACAGAAAATAGCCTACGCAAATACACAAATTACGACCCCAATATCTTTCGTCCCAGTTGTCACATAGCTGCATTGTCCATGAGTGGATTATTTAAGGTTAAGAAAACGGTGTAAAGATAATGTTTCTAACAGTTGTCGATAAAAAATTAGGTTGTTAAAAATTTCAAGAGCCTATAACGAATGATGTCATCTGCTGAAAATACATGAGTTTGTATTTGTGTCTGAACCTGACGAGTCTGTTTGTAATTATCTGGCACTCACTCTATAACACGCGACAGACGCTCGTGTTCATCTTCTATCTCAACAGTCTTCACCCAATGTTCATGGAGGTTTTCTCCGAAGAGGCAACTCGGAAGTGTTCGGAAGTATTCCTGAAGTGAAAAAATAATTCATTTATATTCATCTATCTTTAATAATTATTATAAAAAAACTAACAACATACTGCCACTGAAATGTTTAACAAATGATCATTTGCAGAAGGTACATTGTCAAATGACTGTTTGAAATTAATTATTCAAAAAAATGTTATGGATCAATTAATTCCTTTACATTAATCTAGTTAATCTGTCATGACATGTTAGATGTAGCTGGCATATAGCTGGAACACTGCTGAGTGCAGCGTTAAACCAACCAATGTCAGTTGTAAGGAAAGTCTTACCTTCACAAGGGAACCAATCAGATAGCGGGAGTACTGGTCAAGGCTGACCTCCTCCTCACTGTCCAACTTCTGGCGCAATTCACGAATCTGGCGTGCATTTGCTGACTTCCGCAATATGCCACCTGTAAGGGGGCCCTCTCGGAACAAAATTGTCAAAAGTTCCTGAAAAAATCATTTGTATGGTCAAATGCATATCGAAGAAGGTTTAATAATTACCAAACTCCCCAGGGAGCTGATAACAACATCTGAGACAACACTTATGATAACAATATAACCCCATGAGCATTCACATATAACTATTACACAGATATATTATGTTTGATGGTAGTGATCTAATTATGCCTTCATGCCAACATTAAAACTTGTGACACGATAAAAAAAACTTTCGGTATCTGATACTGAGAGTGAATTCAATATTCCAGGAGGACACCTTCATATGTTTTACAAATATGGAGAATGAAACCAGCGTCTAGCGAACACTTTAACCACTAGACTAGCCTGCCACCCCAATTTAACTAAAACAATAAAAACATTTCAATGCAGTGTTTTCAGTTCAGTTTCTTTCACAGACTTACCATGATTGCTTTGGGTGGTTGGGAGTGTTCGTCACAAACTTCTTCCAGCGGACGTTCGAACAACTTCCCAGGCTTGCTGTTGCCTGGCACGTGTGACTTCTCATCCTTGTTCTTCTTGAACAGCCAACAAGGGCGACTTTTTGGCTTTTTTCAATGACTTCTGAGATGTGTCTTCTACAGGAGAGAAATGTAATGGTTAGAACTGATTACAAACTAGTGTCATACGACAGTGTTTGGTTTGTTTTTGGTGCTATTTAACATCACATGATAGAAATTCCAGCTATGTGAAGGCAATGAATCAAAATAATGTCTTCACCAGTCAATCCAGTGATTGATATTATGAGTGTTAATCAAGCCATCAGGGCAGTGTGACAGTAAAACCAAGTCTACAACTACCTGATCCAGTTGGTTGCATCTTACAACCTTCAACTCAGGAAACCGTTAAAGTGATATTACTGTGAAAATATTCATGTCATGGTTTAAGTGAGTGAGTGAGAGAGTTTGGTTTTACGCTGCTTTAGCAATATTCCAGCAATATCACGGCGGGGACACCAGAAAAGAGCTTCACACATTGTACCCATGTCGGGAATCGAACCCGGGTCTTCGGCGTGACGAGCGAACGCTTTAACCATCAGGCTAGCCCACCGCCCCCATGGTTTAAAAATGAGAATACTATTAAACCATACTCTTTGTTTTGAAATCACTGGGGCAATACAGTTAAATATTCTCCTGTCATATATCAAATGAATAGAATGTCTGTTATTTTTATGAACAACACTTTTTTACGCTGTAAGAAGTATACAGAAATTCTGCACTTTTAACATCTTCATCAATGCAACTGAAATCGCTAGATCAATACATGAGCTCCATTGAATAAACCACAGAAAACCTTGAAAACTATTGATTTTACCAAGTTCCTAAATGACAAAAGCCATGACAATACCATTTTGTAAAGTTTATTTCAAACTGTTAGCATAATGTTTGTTCTCAAAACTTCCATCAGTTGTATTCACTGCCACAAGGAAATACAAATCAGTTGAAATCTTTCAAAAATATTTCTGGACATAACTTTGTCCAGAAATTGAGACAGGTATTGTCAGACGTCATGAAGACAATGGCAGACGTGGCTGGAGAGAACAAGGGGAACCGTGTACATAAAACGACAACTCATCGCCATCAAATTAAAAGCATTCAACAGCACGTTATCCTTTGAGGGTCACAACATTCTGATCAGAGGTCATTGCCAGACGTTAGACAGCAAGAAGTGAAATGAACGACAAACATTGTGGTCAGCTTGATCACACATGCCAACCAACAGGCGGACAACTGGACAAACAACAAGCCAAGGTCACAGTCTTTCTAACCCATGATCGTTAGCTAGTATAGAGGAAGGGCTGGAGTTTGATGCCAATTAAAACACTGGTCTAATTGTGGTTTGATTGTTTGACTATTTTAGTCATCTCGCAAATAACTGCTCAAGTTGGCCTGATTTCGTGGTAAACATTTAATCTATTTTAAAACTGACCAGTGACTTTGAATTAACAGAACATATGGCACAAAGTCACATGTTGATTTGTTTATTTGCATCTTTCGTCCAGTTTCATCAGGAGAAGAGCCCTTTAAATAAGAGTGAGGGCTTCAGATGTTACTTTCTATACTGAAAACGTACATTTGATTTTGGGCAAAACAGCCATAAAATCAAATGAGATTATTCTGGATCTTAAGGCATGATAATCAAACACAACTATGTTGCTGTGCAGGTTCTCATTTGATGTGTTCCTAGAGGATCTTGTGCAGAGAAACTCATCGTTCCGTATTTCAAATCAGAGTAGATTATCCATATGCAAAGTGTTTGATTACATTATTTTTATCTAATTACTGGACTTTCCAAATTATTAAGAGGGTAAATATTACAATAAGGTCTTAAATTCTATTAATTTCAAACTTTCACGTGACACTTTCCCAAAACTGATGTTTTTCTTCATCACATCAAACATACGAGAGTTCAAGAAAACTAACCACATAAAGAAACAGCGTCTCAATGAACGTATTTAATTTGCCGAACATTAAATTAATATTTTTCTCGGGACATGAAACTTGTAAAGCTCAAACAGCCCAGTGATTATTTCAATATGCTGTTCATCTCATGTATCACGGAAGTGCTCAGGTGTCCCAGGGTGCATCTGCTGGACAAACATTTGGCCGATTGACACTCGAGCCTGTCGAACTTAGCACCTTGTCACCGGCCTGATGCCTGGACGTGATAGTCTGTATGTAGACGTATCCTGTGCGTCAATCTCAAACACAGCTTGTATAATGGCCATATATGTGTGAACACTGTGATTGAACCCACAACTTTGATACCCTCACTGCTTGTTGCATGACAGTGGTAATTAGAATATACTCTTTGCTGTGGCAACAAACTATGGAAAGCTTTATATCTTTTTCTGAAAATGTTTTTGAAATGTGCTGTGTCACCAGTACAGTAGTGTCAGTATGAAAGAGACCACATTTTACATATATTATTTATTCAATGAACTCAAAGGTCACCAGGATATTTACCAGAGGTTTCACATCATAATAACAATGCAATCACATAATTATGAATCAGTGAAGAGAGATAATTGTAATCCATTATGGATTTTGAGAGTGTTCCGTCTTTGGAGGTTTCAAATCAGATAGCTCCATAACAACCACATCAAATTTTAATAAACATAAAAGCTGCATTCAACATGACTTTGAAAAACTTTAAATTTTTTAAACTTTAACAATCACTGTTTTCAAATTACAATTATAAGCAACCACTTGACTCACGGGAAAAAGCGTGTTTAAATGATTTTTGAGATAGCACTGACCAACCACAGGTTTCAAATCACAATTACACACCACTGAATTTATCAACTGCATCATTCAATGAAAAGAAAAGCTACAGATTCAATATGAAGGATTTCACCTGAAACCCCACATGATGAAGAAGCTGAGAAATAAGATGTTAAACCATCACACTTACCAAGACTGTGTTTCTTCGGGGACTTCTTGTGTTTGAGAATGAACTCGACTTTAGAATTAGAAGACTCTTCCATGATGGAATCCATGTTGGACAGGACGTCGCTGTCTACATCTCCTTTGGGCTTCAGCAGGTCTCGCACATGGCTCAACTTGATGGCGTACGGGTACTCATGACCTGAACACACGAAATGTTTTTAGGTTGGAATATTATGTCGACTTTGTGGTATAAAAAAAGGAATGTAATTGTTTAGAGGTTCGTATTCCCTGACACAAACCGATTTTGTCAGTTGTTTTACAGTCAGCAATGTTCAGCCATATAATGTCTGCCTATAAACAATTAAGTTTGGTCCAAACAAACCAGTGATTGATATGAGCAAGTCCCCCATGCCAATTCATATTAGCTCAAGGGGCAGTGGTGAAGCCTAATGGATAAAGCCTTCATTTATCACGTCGAAGGCCTGGTTTGATTCCCCACATGGGTACAATGTGTGAAGCCCATTTCTGGTGTCCCCCGCCCTGATATTGCTGGAATATTGGTACAAGCAGTGTAAAACTAAACTCACTCACTCATCTGAGCTCAAGTCAAAGCCTAAACTAAGGTCTGTGATTTAGACCCTGTTACAACAGAAATCTAATTTCATCACCATCACAAGGGAGTAACAACATTGAAATCATTCCTGTATTATGAACAACAATGATTTTATGGATGATATTTCATAATCACATATCTAACACGATAGCCCAATCAGATTTGACTCACTTTCTACAGCTGGTACATCCGACAATGGTGTCACCTCCAACACATAATGAAATCGACAACACAAACAAAACATGGCCAAACTCGACACAAAATCCAAAAATATGATTAAAACGTCTGTGATGGGATCTGGAGTACGACATATCTCATTGTTCAGGACAGTTTGTGTCTCTCCACTGACGTCACAATTCCTCAGATAAGACAGCTGGCAGTGTGGTTACCTATCCCACAATCTCCGCAGATTTCATTCATTGTTCCAGAAGATACACTAGATAGTTAGAACCAAAAACGAGAAAAACATTTTTTTCGCAAATGGTCACATGTCTTGGATGAGTTACAGATCAAACATCAGCATCATCAAGTTTCATATTGCTTTGTAGTCTGATGCAGTTGCCAACAGGTAAGGTTTCATAATCCAGGTGTATCATCATCCAGGTAAGTCATACAGGTAAGATACTACAATGTTTCTCCTATGATGATATACTGAAGTGTGTCCACTTGTACTAGGTAGACATATTAGTGACAGGTAGTGGCAATCAGCTGATTACAGGTGAGCTCGATTACAGGTGATAAAATCCGATCTAGGTGACCTCACCTGTCCAGGTGATGCAAAGCTCACTTGCGTGATAAAAGTAAAAGCTGTGATTGGTACGATGTAAGTTAGCAGGTGTAATTGTGATAATTGTAATTGTAATAGGTTTTCTGCTCAAATTATGCTGATACTTAACAAAATAGGTACATAACCAACAAATAACACTTATAACTAAACAGCAATCTTTGAAATTATATAATCACATTTTATCTAATATATTGTAGTGAGTGAGGTTAGTTTTATGCCGCTTTCAGCAATATTCAAGTAATATCACGGCGGGGGACACCAGAAATGGGCTTCACACATTGTACCCATGTGGGGAATCGAACCTGGGTCTTCGGCGAATGAGCGAACGCTTTAACGATTAGGCTTCCCCACCGCCCCTAATATATTGTAATAGTCACAATGTCAGCTTTAAGAGTAAATATGACTACCCTATATATTTAAACAAATGGAATACATTTCTTGCATTACCTTGAACAAAGTGACACTCTCAGAATTTAGTACCCAATACACTGGAGCACATCACTGACATTGGAACATGTTTTATTTTGGATCATCTGCTTCCTATGTAACATGAATGTACAAATTATGTTAAACAAACAAAACATCCTAATTAAGCCAGGACTTCTTATTTTGGCTACAAGTCACTTCTCTGATGATCACAAACTTGATGATTGACAAACTACATTGCAACATATGTCAGCAGTCTAGACTACCAGTTGTTCGACTTCCATTTTTGTGGAAGCCGCGGTGGCTGAGTGGTCTAGGCGTCTGATTTTGTGTGCTGGTGATTAGGTGCCTGATTCTGAGGGTGTGGGTTCGAATCCTGGATGGGACTCAACCCCAAAAGTACTAGAATCTGTACTTTACTAAGAAAGTGTAATCCCAAATATAACATATGTTACATTTGACCACTTTCTAAAATGGCATTGTGTATTTCAAAACTACATTGTGTCAAGTGAACACCTGGCCACAGGTACCTGTGATTCATTGCTGAATTGTCTTAATAAACCAGTTTTTGTTTACAAACTGACCAAGTTCAGCCTCAGGACAATGACCACCAATATCTGACCACTATGATGTCATTTCATTGTCTGCTAGGACACAACATCAGACTAGTTCAACTTAACAAGATTAGAGTTCCCTCCCTACCAAAACAAAGTGATTAATAACCACGTTCCTGAATATCTGCAAACCTCTTGAACAAGGCACATAATTCAAAACTGACCGCTGACCTCAGGTGGTAAAGGATTAGCCTCAGAAGGTGATTAAGACAGATTAAGCCAGTGGCCATAAAATAATGCAAATGGCTCAGATATTAGAGTTGACATAAATCTCTCAAAGTAACAAATATTATTTCAGGTGTTTGAGCCAGCGGTCCCTTCAGACTTGAATCGTGAAATACTTGAAATACAATATAATCTATCCACAATTTCTGTAAAATATATTAAACAAAACAAAAATCACCACCTCCCACAAAACAAACTTAACTGTTCCAATGATATCAAAAACTAATACATCACTAAAAAACATTATTGACTTACTGAATATATACATGAGTCACCAATGTCTACACATTAACCAGCTAAAGTGTCTTCCGTCAACCAATACAGCTTGTTAAAATTTGTGGACAAATGTCACTGACAACACATGTTTCACCCAAGCAGTAAACAGGGAGAATTATATCACAAGAAGGTGCAACATGTTTTAACAGAAATATTATTCTTTTCCGGAAACAAAGTTCAAATAATTACTGACTATAATCTCTGTAACTGACACCTTTCAAACCTTGGATTTCGGAAGTGAGGCATGTAAATATTACATAGATGTGATGATGATATAGGTTTAAAAATACATCTTATTATCTCTCGATGTTTATACTATTATCTACGCAATGATGCTGGACTTTGATCAACTATCACCAGACAGTATTATCTATAAATATCAATAAAATGACCAATCAATCAGTTACAGCTGAAATTATTGAGGCTATTTTAGTTTGTCCTCAAAAGAACTGCAACCACTGTCTTTAAAAAGGATTTTTACAATTTTTAAATAAACTGATGTAGAACTAATGAAAAATCAATTTAATTACTCATCATATTGTCAATGAAAATACTTTAAAACATGACATAAATGTGTTGCCATGGTAACCCTTATACCGGAAAAGTTACCGGCAATTTAATTGTTATGTAAGCAATAAAGTTATAAAGGGCCAGTTTAAATAAAATTTCTTTTCCTGCCACTTAATTCAATACATTTACTGTCGTATACAAATTGAAACTGGAATAATTGAATATAAACATATATCATATTCCAAAGGTGTCATTTACGAACTTACGTTTTGGTAGCATTTCCTGGCAGTAAGTGCGACCACACTGACATCCAACTTCATGCATTAAAGAAGTCGGCAATAATGATAGCATCTTGGCAGAGTCAGGCAAACAATTTCCACTTTAAAAACAAGTGGTCAATTTTGTTGACTAGTTTCAAGGTCCCTCACTGCCAATAGCCTTCCGTGTTTAGTCCGATTCCAACCAGAAGCAACATGACGACCGTGCTTCGTGATCTGAGCACAAGTGGGACCCAAAAGTCAATACACTGTTTTACTTATGCCAAACACTGGACCATGACTTTTCAATGAGGTCTGCTGTCCAACCGCATGAAGGACCACTCGTCCATGTATGTTTTAGGGACCACATTCTAAAAGGCTTATCTTCCCCATAATGGTCTCCTTCTGTGTTGTGTCGGTGGAGTGTAGCGAACACAACATGTCTGACGTAGAGCGCATGACCATGACAGTTCGACAAAATAGGCAGAACGTTCACCGAGATTGCAAAACATTATTGTGGGTGGGGTCACACTTCAAAAGATGCACTGGGTACATCTGTCTTTAAAGTGGTTTTGATTGAAAAGGACATTTATAAAATAACTGTCACACCCTTGTCCACCACACAAAGGGAAATTGACATTTGAAGTCTACATTTCAGGGTTTTGAAATGTTTGAATAAAATCTGATTGATTATGAATGGTTGCAAGGAAAGCGGCACATGCCGTGTAAGGATTGTATGACCTTTAGTGTAGAAAGGAGTGACATGGTTTCTCAGTATATCTTGTATTTTCTGGGTGTTTGAATATGCTTTCAAATCACAACAGTAGTACTTGAATACTCTCATGGCTGACACACTTATGTATCTTCACAAATCTTATCTATACAAGGCAAGCCAAACACCTAATTCACCATGCAACAGACATAAAAAGTACCTTAATGTTCATCTCGACCAGCTTGGTGCATGGCCATTATAGAGCTGATTTATTACTAAGGGTGGACATAAGAGGGGTGTACTGACATATACCACTGACACACAAATGCCATTCCTTTCAGAAAGGTCTGAACCTGTTGAAGAAAAGGACTGAACCTGTTCTAAACAAGATCTGTCACAAGGACTGAACCTATAAAATTAGACCATTACATAACACAGAACTTATCAACCACCAAGATTGAACCAAGTCAACAGGGATTGAAGAATGTTGACACCAGGACTGAAACGACCAAAACGGATCGAGCTTTAAAAGGGGAGACTTTCGTAATTTCACACAAATAGTAAAATAACCTTATTTTTGGGATGGACTGAGTAATGAATTAAGGTCTGAACCTTGCATTGACAATGTTCCTCCTGAAGCACATCCTGTCTACCTCAAGGCCAGTAACTGTTATCTCCTCCCCAGTGTCACAGGGTACAAGCTGGCCCGATGCATGTACACAAAGCTGACTCTCCACTACAGTGTTCTGCAGGACCCATGTGGTGTATACATGCATACAGAGCTTTATCAGCATGCTTTCATGTATGATACAACTGTCACGTTAACGCACACGCTGACAATTTATTACCCACCCTGGAGATGTCTATGACATCAGTGTATAAGACTATTTTCAACTACATTTAACTAAAATAACTATTTTTTTTAAAACTACATGTGCACCTGTATTTGAAAAACTAAATTACTTTTTAAAATAAACTTCATATTTTACATAATTTGATATGGTAAATATATGAATTGTTTTGACCATCCTAGCAATTTCATTTAAAAAGAAGTATGTTTACACTTTATATTTTTTAATGATGTTTCATAACACATAAACTTATTGACTAATAACAGCCTAAAAAATTGATCACACTAAATAAACAACTTAACGTTATATGGTAAATATCATATGAATTATTTTTAACATGCAAATACTTTGATTAGAAATGTAAAGAAATATGTTTACATTTAAAAAAATGTTTATGTTATTTTATAACAGATACACTTATCGACTAATAAAAGCATACTAACACAATCAACCTAAATAAACAGAAAACATTCTAATTTTTATTGATAAAGGGGACAAAAGAGCACCTGCTGGTTAACCTGCATTCATACCCATAGAATAGAGGCTTATTGTGAAAAACCTGGCTTGGAAAGAACAGTGCCTGTCTCTATTGACTGACAGGACAAGCTGACAGATTTATGTGGGGTGGGGCAGGTAGGAGTATGATCTGATGGGGAACTGCCAGAGGGAATTTTGGTTAGAATGAACTGATTTATGAGGCAAAAAACAAGGTGAATTGTTTAACTGATGGCAGATAAGAGAAATAACCAGCTGAACAAATACTGACCAAGAAGTAAACAAATACTGACCAACAAGTAAACAAAGACCGACAAGTAAAGAAGTACTGACCAATGATAGTGTGCAATATATTAAACATTCTGATATAGGATTACCTAGTTTCACTTCTTATCTATATTTAGAAAAACATTTCACATATAAAAATATCCTTTTCCTCATCAAGGCTAAACAATAAAGTGAGTGAGTGAGTTCAGTTTTATGCTGCATTTAGCAATATTCCAGCAATACCACGGCAGGGGACACCAGAAATGGGCTTCACACAATTGTATCCATGTGGGGAAACGAACCCGGGTCTTCGTCGTGACAAGCGAACACTTTAACCACTAGGCTACCCCATCACCCCTAAACAACAAAGGTGTAGGTCAAACATCTCATATGTAAAACTGACTTACCTATAAGTGGGTAGATTGTTTCCTTTCCTGTCAACACCCACAACTGGTAATCCTTCTGTTCGCTCTCCTGTAATAAAGATAAAAAATATACAGACACGGTACCTAACAAAGATATAAATCAAATGAAATCTAATAATATCAAATACTGATTATACATACACTAGACTGTAAACCTGTAAAACCATAAACTTCTTTGAGTGGCATATTTGGAAGTTCGTGAATCAGATAACGACAAACTTTATGGATGCTTGACAACGATACAAACATCTATATCGAAACCTCCCTCACCCGAATAAGGAAGTTGTTCATCCATAAAGATTGTTCTTATCTGTAAACCATGACTTTCCCCTTTCTCGAAGCATGCGTCAGTCTATTTATGGACATACACCTCGTCTACCACATTCAGATTACAACATTACTCAGTGAGTTTCACATGCTACATCCTGTTAGATGCCTTAATGCTTCTTGTCCACAGTTTACTTTCATTTTCTGTATAAATATCATTATTATTTATTTTATAGAAACTTTCCGATACACAGCTCAAGCAAACAGCAAATACTACCAATACTGTATATAATATTACTTTATGAATCATAAATATAAATAAATGTCATAGTCATGGAACTGTTCATATAAAAACATTTCAAATACAAAATAGATGGAAACATCTGTAATAACTGCAATCTTATTCAGTGAATCATAATTATAATTAATGATATGTAGCAACATAAATTATATAATGACAGGCTCCTTATTCATAAGAATTAATATATTTTGTTGTTTAAATCACTGAGAAATGGTGATAAATTGTGAACCACAAAGATTTATCATTGGTCTATAAAAAATATATCCCAATCACCTTTGGTAAAAGTATTCCATGATGAAAATATGACATCAATATTACATGAAAACACTTATTTGTCTACCAAACCAGATTCACATTTTTCTAGCATTAAATATTCTTAACTTAAATACACTTATATTATATTATACCCTGTTGAAACAAGTATTCATGCCACTAGTTATTAAACATAAAAAGAATTTAACCATACCTTCAGTTTGTGCAAAAAGCTGAGACTTTTTGACAGTAGTTTGGGCCCCATGCATGGCATAGCTAACATTTGCTACAGCAAGACACTATAGCATCCACGAACACAATGACTGACCGATTGCCAACTCCATCGACACAATCCAACAAGTATAGAAATCCAATATGAAAGCTCCAATACTGAAAATCTCGATCCGAGCAATAATGCTTGTTCAATTCAGCCTCATCTCATATAAAACAAATGTGTCCCAAATCGGCCTCGTGGGGACCAAACGCTAGTTATGTCAACAGGCTAATCCAAAAATGTCTCGGATAAACACAGTAGTCTCCCTTTACGACAGCAGATCAACAGGTAATGTTGTCCGTGTGTTGTCGGTCAGCAGTGATTTGAGGGTGTGGATCAAGAGGGGGTTATTTTCAGACTCTTGACACACAGTCTCGACCCAGCTAGATCTACCAATGGACAGAGGCAATCTCAACAGTCATGAAGTTAATCCCAGATTTACGAGGGAGATTAGCCCCCCTCCCCCAGGTTTAACGAAGGCTTGCCAATTAGCAGGCAATTAACGGAACAGGATAATTGATGTTTTCCAACCTAACAGTACCTTGTTCTTCTGGGGTCTATCTAATTGTTCACTTCCTATTGTTGGAATAACACAGGGCAGCCAGTTGGGGCAGCCATTGTTCTATATACAGCTACTGTCTGGCTTAAAACAATCCCAGCCAGGACAACAATGGGGCAATTCTATCAATTAAAACATATCCTCTGATTGTTTGAAGCCTTGTCTGCCCTTAATGACAGTTAAAGGTAACACAGTATCGATTACATTGTTCCAGGGGTGAAATCTGAAACATATTAGTTATCTTAACATTGAATCAAAGTTTGAGGAATTTTTACTTTTTAATGACTGCTTTGAGTGTTGTGCTAGTTTTATTCCTTCTGTTTTTAGCAATACTTATTTTTATCCATGATTTTTATTTACATTTATTTACATTTAATATCATTCTAGTTTTATTCATTTGATTAAACTTTTTATACTAAAATATCACAACTGTAAATTCTTATTATTTCTGAAACATGGTTACAGATTATGGCAGACAACCAAATATCTGCACTCCTCTGTAGAATGCACTAAAGAATGTATAAATGCAATTAATTTTTGATAAACTATGTTCCCACAGACCTTCAATAAACAGTTGAAATAATAGTAAGGTCTGACATATATTATAAAAGAACAAGCTTGATAGTGTTGTATTTACCAGTATAGACATAAATATATAGAAATATCACAGCACATTATAGAGAAGACATAAAAGAAGATGATTTGGTCATGGATACTATCACTATAACATGCATATTCATAATTTCAAAACCATAATTTCATGGTTTAAAGTGACATACTAGCATTTGATGGACTTTTTAAGTGATAAATGTAGAGGGGTGTCTTCTTGTTAATTGTTCTACATATTATGTGATAAAGTTTCCAAATAATTAAGTGAATAATTCTGAAATAAACAAAAGCATAAGCAGTGTATTCTACAATTAATGTGAAAAAACCATGATAAAGTCTTCCTAGTAGCTTTGATTACAGGTGTAACTTTGTCAATTGTAGGTAAGCACTGATTACAGGTAAAACTTACCTGTATAAGCAGCTGTGCCATGCACATCCGCAGTACGTCTCTGGCTTCACAGGTGTTATTGACAGTCACAGAACATTTCTGAAAAAGAAAAGAAATAGTCATAAAAAGCAATACTAAAACAAATGTCCATTTCTTGTCTACACTAACACAGCCAGTGAGTTCTATAACTGTACATTCAAATACTACATTTTGCATGCACATTTTTGTTGAGATGCTCTGGAGAATCATTTTACAAAAAAAGGTAATAAAATATATAACATATGTGCAAAATAAATGTAACTGAGGTAATGAGTATCCTAACCCAATTTTGAAAATGACCCTATCTGCACCATCAGCAGATTTGCAACCAACCTGTAACAAGTTTCAACACACTATAGCAGTGTCAGAAATACATCCACTTTTTAACCCAACGGAAGACAAATATTGTGAAACTACCTAATTTCACTTATTTAGTGAGTTGCCGAATTTCTGCTCAATCTTCTAGAAAATATAGCAGTTTCAACTTTCAGCTGTATTTTGTAAACAATCAATTCCCTTTGAAACACATATGTCAAATAACAAAAATAAAGAGCTGCTATGTCAAGTTTCTGATAACTGCAATTGAAACTACTTAATTAACCCATGGCAAGACAGTCGCATAAACAAACAGAACTAAATGTCAAACAAATTCAATCAACAATCTAAATGATATTGGTTTAATATTTACAAAACTCTCTGCCAGTAAACCAGCCTTGGACATTGATGTCAAAGGAAATCCATTGAACACATCCTCAAATGTGTCAAATAATTCAATGATATTTGCTTAATATTTTCCCAGGCCTTGCCACTAAGTGAATTTAACTGTTTGTGTACATAAGGGTTAATGGTCATTCATCTGTATCAGGCACTGCAGGAAAGGTGTTGCCTTAATTGACACCAATAGCTTGTTGTGTCAACATCTATTGTCTTATTGTTACACACAGGTAAAGTGGATAGTATACCTGTCACTATATACTCAGCTGAAACTTAAATACTTGTACAGACAAGCATTTGTTTGCTTACACTATATTGGTTTGTGATTTTAATTTAATTAACTTCAAAACAGTACATTTTATCTCACTGTTCAAATTTTTAATTTTCTTGACATGGGTTATTTGTTCTCTTTCATTTACAGGATAAGTAAGTTAATGTTTTTCAGCTGACATTTTCCTGGATAATTGACTATTTTATTGTTTTATTATGCCTTATTATGGTGCAGGCTGGTCTGGTGTGTCTACTTGAATGACAATCCTATTCAGAACAATGGGTAATTTCGGCCATGTGTTTTTATTTCAAGATGACATACTGATAGTCATAAACAAGGTTCCACTGATTTTATAACCCATTCTTAATTACATCATGAATGGACATTGCAGTGTTTATTGCAGAATTTATTGATACCATCTGCCTGGATTAAATCTAGTAAACAAATATTAAGATTTTCTTAAGGAAATCTTCAGAGTCAGAGGAAATCTTTTAAAGAATAACACCATTTTTGTTATAGCTTTTTATGTAAATGGGCAGTTCCGAAAACTGTCTGTATTTGCAATCACAGGATGTCTAAAGCCAGTGAATCATAATTATAGAAAGAAATATTTCATAATTGTCCGGATGGAGTAAATATGGTTCTGTTTAAAGAGATTTCCGTTTCTCAACAGATGGGTTGAACATGAGAGTGTAAACCAACATGTCCGTCAGATGAGGAAGCTTTCTGGTCATCCATGATGAGTGGACTCAAAGAGGATATGGCTCCGTTCAGATACAGTCCAGATCATCAAGCCTTTATCTAAATGTTGACCTGTTGTAATTTCATGTTTACTATTAACTCTGATCCGTGCTGAGCCAAGTCCTCCCATATGCCCACATTAGTGGAAAGGCAGTTTTCTTAAACAGATCAATTGCGTTAAGACAATAACGTGTGTTTGCAACCTTCACCTGCCACCTTGTTGAAACAATTTCATTAAAAAACTTTCTTAATTAGTTTATTTTCACGCTAATTGAGTTTAATCAACAAACTGTGGTACACTTGGTGAGTTTAAAGAGACGATATTCTGCCCTTGTGGCGTTGGCAAAATACGGCAATGCACCAACCTGATCGATATGCCTATTGACAACTTTGAGCTGGGTTGTGCGGGACTCCTCTTTCAACTTCTCTTCCTGAATTTGTCTGGAACAGAGTAAAAGACAATAAAGACCCAGGAAGCTTATGTTGAGAAGAACTCAGGTTCCTAACCTGTCTCAAAGGCCTTGCCATAACCCAAGACGTTTGTAGATTATCATAATCTTGTTAAATTACAACATTTGTATTTCTGAGCACAAAGCAAAAATTCCTACACAATTCCCTTGGAAACAAATATGTACATTTGCATGTGAATTTTATTAAGAAATGTGACTTGGGTTCCGGTATGAACACAGGAATCAAATGTTATCCTTTAAAAAGCCATTCAGTTGACTTGGTGCACCTTGTGAATGTAATCAGAATCTTATCGGCCGGAGGATCATATTGCAGTGGATGGTGCATTGTGGGTACCATGACGGGTGACAATCTCCCGGTTGGCTTCAGGTCAAAGCACAAGGTCATCAAACAAGCGTAAATCACTACATCAGTTTGGCCAGTGTCGAAGACAGGAATTATACAGTGAAACAACTTCAAACAATTGGGCAATCCCTAGAAATGGTTTCAAAATATCAAAGGAATCTCGATGATCTTTTTCATATCCAACATAATACATGAATTAACACTTAGAAATTCTCAAGTTTGGAAACAGCTTCAGCATGTCAGTATGGGAATCGAACAATGAAATTTTTGGCTTTAGCTTGACCCATGTAAAATATACATACATTCAGATGTTTGAAACGCAACCAAGTGTGAATAAATTTCAACAATTAAACAATACAACTGCAATGTCAACTTAAAAAAAAATCAGCTATGTGAATTTCAATACCAACCATCCCTTTAAACAATACCAGAATAGCAACCTCTTTTAAAACTATATGACACTATATAATTTATAGCAACACCCCTTTAAAAAGCAATGTCCTTGGAAATAATACCACAGCAATGTCCCTTTCAACAGTACAACAATGCTCCTTTCAACAGTACAACAGCTATGCTCCTTTCAACAATACAACAGCAATGCTCCTTTCAACAATACAACAGCAATGCTCCTTTCAACAATACAACAGCAATGCTCCTTTCAACAATACAACAACAATGCTGCTTTCAACAATACAACAGCTATGCTCCTTTCAACAGTACAACAGGTATGCTCCTTTCAACAGTACAACAGCAATTCTCCTTTCAACAGTACAACAGGTATGCTCCTTTCAACAGTACAACAGGTATGCTCCTTTCAACAGTACAACAGCAATGCTCCTTTCAACAGTACAACAGCAATGCTCCTTTCAACAATACAACAGGTATGTCTTTCAACAGTACAACAGCAATGCTCCTTTCAACAGTACAACAGCAATGCTCCTTTCAACAATACAACAGGTATGCTCCTTTCAACAGTACAACAGGTATGCTCCTTTCAACAGTACAACAGCAATGCTCCTTTCAACAGTACAACAGCAATGCTCCTTTCAACAGTACAACAGCAATGCTCCTTTCAACAGTACAACAGCAATGCTCCTTTCAACAGTACAACAGCAATGCTCCTTTCAACAGTACAACAGCAATGGTCCTTTCAACAATACAACAACAATGCTCCTTTCAACAATACAACAGCAATTGTCCTTTCAACAGTACAACAACAATGGTCCTTTCAACAATACAACAGCAATGCTCCTTTCAACAGTACAACAGCAATGGTCCTTTCAACAATACAACAGCAATGCTCCTTTCAACAATACAACAGCAATGCTCCTTTCAACAGTACAACAGCAATGCTCCTTTCAACAGTACAACAGCAATGGTCCTTTCAACAATACAACAACAATGCTCCTTTCAACAATACAACAGCAATGCTCCTTTCAACAATACAACAGCAATGGTCCTTTCAACAATACAACAACAATGCTCCCATACCCAACTTTGGCAAAACAACGCCGCCACCAGCACAGCATCAATGCCATCAAGAACATCACGCAAAGCACCACCAACTGACAACTCTCAACTTACGTAGTTAACTTCGTCAGCCATTTCTCTTTAGTTTCAGCATCCTTGAAAGTGGCCACGGTGTTGGTAGTTGGCCAGCCGATGACAAACGATCTGTCCTGCGGCCGTGTTAGTTCACTCACTTCCTCGATACAGTTCGCGATCCACACGTCACACAGCTGTATTCGATGCTTCAACTTGAACGTTGTGTTTGACCTGGAACAAAACACAAACCATTATAGTTCATAAACTGACTGACTGAGTATGGTTTTACACTGCTTTTAGCAATATTCCAGCAATATCCGGGTTGGGGACACCAGAAATGGGCTTCACACATTGTACCCATGTGGGGAATCAAACTCGGGTCTTCGGCGTGACGAGCGAACACTTCAACCACTAGGCTAGTTCATAAACAGACCATAAACAATGTCAACAATTAATAATAAATAACGCAGCCAACAAGAAACAAAGCAAGTCTTCTGAGAGATTTAAAGGTGACTTTAAAAGTTCTTAATCATCACTGTTACCTTTAAATGCTAGCAAAACTGTTAAAAGGTCTGCTTGCCAAGAATATTGCTCCTATATAAGAAACAGTTAGGATGAGACTTTAGGACAAGCGTTTACAGCTACGAATCACTTCGTAAACAAAGCAATAGGAAGGAAGCATTATGAATCTCAATAAACAGGAAGAAAGAAGAACAAGAAATCAACAAAATTGGACGTCCATAAAAACAGGAAACACAACAATCAAAGAATTTTTCGAAGGCCTTGGAAAGTTTGCAATATGTTAGCATAGTGAGATAATTATGCAGACATTGTTTTAAACCAACTCTGATATGAGTGACATATTTGGAAAGCTTTGAACGAAGAATGTGGAAGCAATGGAAGGGGGACCTCTGGCCAAATACCATCAAGCCCCAGCACAAATACACGCTATCCTCCCTCAAATGAATCTGTTTGTTACACGATTATAATCAGATGAAGGGTGTACTCACTTCTGCTTAGCGATGAGCAGCAGATCGCTGAAGAGGAAAAGGTAGCGATCCTGCGTCTGCATGCCCTGAAATCATAAGCAGACGTAAATAGTAGACTTCGGTACAATAGTACTTATGGCCTGAAGTTAAAAGAAAACAAAAAGTTAAGGTTTGCTGACATGGATATTTCACAATCTGGGATTATGACTGTGAATGATGAGGGCTACAAAGAATATATATTTGAAAACTTCATTTGTTGGCATGGCTTTATGCAAGAAAGCTCCAGACAATACATAGACTGGGTCATGAAATAGAATATTCGTTCAGCACAGAACAGAGTGGGTGGGATTTATACAGAACTGTTTGAAAAAAAAAGCACTTAGGATAATGCTGGATATGATAATTTGACTCGTTTCAGAAAAAATAAGCAACAAAAAAACAAAAACAAAATAGAATTAAAAAGTTCACTTCTTATTCTGAGGGATCTTCTAAAAAACATTGTGTTGTGGGGTGCAATATTTGTTTCTTCTTTTCATAGTTATTGCATGTAAGCCATGAAGCACTGTGTAAAACATGTTGTCAAAAAAACCAACCCAAATCCCACCCCCTAATTATTAAGAAACTGGCCCTAGTTAGACATTTATCCCAAAAAATGAATTTATTCATAAATATATTAATCCAGAAACTGCGATACTGAAGTTTACCACAACACATCTCCACACATCGGAGTTGTCGTATCGCTAGCTCCCCAAGGCTTGGATGACAGCACTTAGAGGCTAAATACGTGAATGGATATAGTTTTTCAGTTTAAGGAAATTTTCTCAATGAAAGTTAAACATTTCATGACATTTATTTTTCTAAATGGGAAGACTTATCCCAAAGGAAACAGATGCAAATCCATGAATGGACGATGTAAGATGTGACTATTTGACAGGCTGTCTGAAAGAACACTGGGCCTAGATATTCGAAGCTCTCTTAGCACTAAGATAGTCGTAAGTGCCATACATTAACATTAACTTACGACTATCTTAGCGCTAAGAGAGCTTCGAAAATCTAGGCCCTGAGTAGGAGAGTGAGTGGCTTCATAATACCAAAGCATATGTGTATTGTAATCTAGGCTTTGATAAACACTGACTTCTAATCTGATGAAGCTGGTAATTTGTATTTTGTAACTCATTTTGTTTTCTCTTTCATTTAAAAATAGAAGACATGACTGAAGCCAGTTAACTCTGCACAGTGCTTGTGTTGTCGGCTTCACTGTGTGGAGCTCTATTGTTCTGGTTTGAGTTTGGGCATGAACGAAAGGTGTGATGTCACACAGAGACATTATTCCATGCATGATTTCAAAACACACAGAACTGTCAATGTACTGTGCCTTTAATGTAGGAGGAAAATCCGAAGTGATACTCTCTACATATTCATCTCCAAAGCTTTAGTTCTCACTGTAGATACACTACCCATCAAAAGTTTAGACTCGCCTAAAGCACTCACTATATGTTATGTATATATATGTGGTTACATCGAAGATGAATTTCTCCACTAACTTGGGGGAACCAACTGCAAACTTTATGCAGATGAATTGTACGAGGATCATGCATCAAATTGCTAAAAAGCATGTGCAAATAACGTTCATGTGAACAGCTGCGTTTTGGTGTAAAGTTTTGTTAAGAATTTGCCAATTTTCACTGATTTTCATCATTTACTGAATTCATGACAATAATCTTTTCAACGTTATGAATTTGTTTTACAATACATTAGTTCATGTGTAAACAGTACCTTTAAACTGAATGGAATATTTTGCAAAATCAAGTTTAGAACAACTGACTGAAGTAAATGGCTACATTTACACTAGTGAGTCTAAACTTTTGATGGGGAGTATATATAGCAAACCAAACCAAAACTTGGCACCATAAAGATTTGGTTGATATTTTTTTAGTGTAGCACACAAGTTCATCAAAAATATCCTCCCAATAATCATGATTCCTGAAATCTTTTCTCTGAATAGCTCCACTGCCAATCTACAATGCTAAAAAACAGCTGGCCAATCAAACTAACCCCAAGAGCAAGAGAAATTTAGTGTAAGGCTGCTGATATGAATGATGAGTGAGTGAGTTTAGTTTTACGCTGCTTGTAGCAATATTCCAGCAATATCATGGCGGGGGACACCAGAAATGGGCTTCACACATTGTACCCATGTGGGGAATCGAACCCGGGTCTTTGGTGTGATGAGCAACCTCTAGGCTACCCGAACCACAGGAGTTATGAACATGGGAGCTAATAATAGAGGTTATTAATCATAATAGAATGGGGGGCTAATGTACAGTATAGACAATGTACTATTCAGGGTATTGGTAATAATTAATAACCAATATTTTTTTATGGCTGATCAAGCTTTTCTGTGTAATATTAATTGTAAATAGTTATTGAACATAATTCACTTCATACTATTAAAATATGCATGTTGAAGTTTTGCAAAAATTATTTGAATTTGCCCTATGATTTTTTTTATTGAATTAACTTATAAAACACATCACCAATGTTTTACATGCCAATCTGTGATGCAACACAAAAATCTTCAAATGGAATGTTACTTAACATTTCATCTATCATTTCTTTATCCCCTCCAGCACTGCACTGACATGAACCAGAGATACAGATGGGAAACCCATTAATCTCACGTTTTATACGACATATCCTATCCTGCCATGAGTGTAATTGATGTTTTTTCGATTTTTTACCCTTGACAATTGACAAAACAAAACAAAAAATGTCTCCATCAAAGCTGGCAACGAAACCTCCCGCAAAACTGATTAACAAACACACAGAGAGTTTTTACACCGATATAGTTTGTTTTATCATAAAGACGACACGAATGTTGATCACATGTTCAAATACACCAGGGCTTGTGACTCAATAACCACGACAAATAACCTCTATCATAAAGAACAATTAAATATAACCTCCACGATCCTATCAAATATTAGCTATCTGTCCTTATTTGACATATCAACAAGACGAACAAGTTAATGTTTGGTATGGTTGGAAATGCAACCAACAAACACATCTACATTGACAATTCAATACTGTTACTTCGAAACTACATCATAAATCAAATATATGTGATTAGATGGACTATTTACATAACTTGAACTCGAAGTTCAAAATCACGCATATTTGCAAAAGCAACCAGATATTTCATTTGCTTTCGCAGCATTCTTTCTTCAAACATGAGATTTATATGATACCAAATCTCATCATGTAAATATTGGTTTTCAGAAATGTAACGAAGACGATGCTAATATTAACATCGAACAGCCATCCTATGTAAAACATTTCTTTGTGACATTATAAGTATGCAAAAATCACATAGAAAGCTGTTCACATGCGTTCAATGTGTGGGTAAATGTAAACAGAGTCTAGAAGACAATTCCGAAGAAGATATTCTTCGTAAAGGAAATGCGTGGTATTGTTTACAGTATTTATACAGTTATGGTAATGTGGTTTAGATGTATAGAGGATAACCATTACACAGACTCATTGTCTAAGCCATCAGGTGTATTTGGTCAAGGGAGTCAGACAGGGAGATGCATGTGGTCAGTGAGCTAGACATACACAGCTGAGATTACTCTGTCCAGTTAGTTAAAAAGGTCTTCAACATGTGGTGAATTGTATCAGAATTGTAATGGACTCCTGTTAAGTATACATACCCAAGTTAAACATTTTGTACAATTATTATTCACACAGCACTGAAATAGTTCATGTGTACAGTTGAGATCCCGTGAGGTTGGTAGTTTGTGAAAATTCTTATCATTACCTATTTGTGTCAATTATATACATACAGGCATCAAATTACGCAGTATTACAAATAGTTAAAGGTGTCCGATTCAATCAATATATATTTAAAATTGAATATGTATCAGGAATTGTCTTAATTGTTGACTCCTCTTTTTCCCATATTTCTGTTCTTTCTTCTCTGTCCATCTTGTAGAATGATACATACCCAAAATTAAAGTTGTATTTTGTATAATTATTATTCATATACTAGATTTCTTATTTGGTTTCCTTATGTCTAAATACATACTGATGAAAAGAAAAAAGGGAACATTCATAGGAAAGAGAGAGTGAGTGAGTATGCTGATTTAGCAATATTCCAGCAATATCACGGCGGGGGACACCAGAAATGGGCTTCACTCATTCGTTGTACCAATGTGGGTCATAGGAAAGAATATTTTAATATTGAACTCCTTTGCACCACATATACCTGAAAGATCACTGATGAAACGAGAAGCAATAATTTCTCACCCACTCACTAACTCACTGCTTCTTATTAACATGTAGATAACCTGATGCTTCCATTTACATGGTAACTTATTTTATTTCCAATTTAATTTGGAAACATTAATATTCTGCACAATAATTATGATGACTTTCTTAACAGCTTCAGTATATAAATGAAATCTAGAACATAAATCTTTCCATTTTCTAATACTTACCGCTGCAAGCTGGGCTGACCCCTCCATGACATAGAGGCGGTTTCCTTCAGACCCTGGTCGAGTCGAAACGTCACCTTCCTTTTTGACCATGTTGTGTGACCTAAAGTAGAACATTGTGACATTGAGCAGTTTTCAAAATAGATCATCGATAATGAATAGAAGATCTCATTTTCAGTTATGAATAAAGATTCCAGTACTTTTTTCCAAAATTAGACGAAAATATTTTGTAAGGTGATTTAACACCTAATAAAATTCAAGGAATGATCAGATCTCACTTTTCGATGACAAACAGACTTCCAGAAAATTATATTTGTTATAGTTGTTTTATATTTTTCTTTTACACGTTTGAAAACAGAGACATAAAAAAGAAAGAAGAGAAATACTGGCGAGTACTGTTCTATCCATTAGATGTGTATCAGTCAATGCTTAATACAGTTGGTTGAATTGCAAACTTCAAACAGGAATTATTTTTTCTTCATCCAAGACAATTCCAGTGAAATTTGCTATATAACATGATTCACCGACAGGCGATCCTGAGTATCTACATCAACAGGAAGCACACAAATGTGAAGGTCACGACTATGATATCATTGGTGAAACATGAACTAATTCCAAACTTTGCAAGAACATTCAAGTGTTCACTGAAAACAATTCCTGCGTTTCTGAAAACACAATTCCGCCATTCAAACAGGAACTAAATAAAACAAAAGCTAAAGCAATCGTCTTTACCTGTAAAGAGAACTTTCCTCATTGGATTTTATTCCTGTATTGGATGAATCTCATGTGTGTCAACTCGTGGTAGATGTTTCGCGGTTTATTTGTACATAAAACTGCGTCATGTGTTTCGAAGTGACAGTTTTTCTCTGGGTTTCGTTTAATGAGAGTTTGTGTTACGTGAAGCTGTACCATACCGAGACTGTAACAGCTCGGTCACACCGTGGCGTGTACGCTAATCACAAACATCGCCAGTTCTCGGACTGCCTGTGAATAGGGCGGTCAACATGTTCAGGATGACAAATAACATGCAAATACTCTACAGTACTGACGTTCTCAAGGCCAATTAAAAAATATTCCCCCTGCCAGAACAAATCCTTGACACATACTTAATTAGTTTGCCAAATTTAAAACCATTCTACAACAAATTAACATTCTCCAATCATCACGTCAGTGCATTTATATGGTTTTCAGATGAGATTGGTTCTACGTTTCGTGAATATTCAAAATAATTGTTTTTTAAAACCTTGATCTTGAGTGTTAATTACACTTTGACAAATATACATTCACAAATCATTAATCAAACATTCAACTGTTTTTTAGATAGACATGTAGGTTGATGTTTAATTGTCATAGGATAGAAATATATTCTTTTTCTTAAAACTTCTATCTCTGACAGTGTTGAGTATGCAGTGTTCAGTACGTTTTCAACAAAATAGTAAGTCTTAAAAAATTCCTACCAATTTTATAATATATTGATATTCAGAAATGAAAGAAATCTTAGAATTGGTTTATATGTAACAAGGAAAATATTTCATGAAATTATTCATATGTCACTCCATATAATTCTGTTCCTCATTTACATAACGACGATTCGATCAAAAGGTATGGAATTGTTTTCGTAATGCCAAGCACACACAATGAGGCAATACTAAGTACACATGTGGCCGGTCTCTCAATCTCCCTTGCTACTGGTTAGAGGTCACCTGAAATACTGACCTCACAATGCAGTGGTCACTGCAGGTCAGTCGATATAAACCCAGCCGGAAATTCAGCTATCATTTTGGTAGCATGCAGAGAATCTAGACTTTGTCGGTTGATCAAACAAAACAGGAATCCCCTTAAGAGCCCTCCATGGCCAGGAAGACATTTAGAGAAAATCATTAAACTGAAAATAATGGGATCCTGTCCATTTTTGTTTTCCAAACTTTAATTTTGCTTCCGAAATTTTGCTTTTACATCTTTGATTCAAATATAGGCATTGTATCAAGATTAGTTGTGTTTTTTTTATCCATAATTTTGTTGCTGAAATTTGTCTTTTACATTTTTGATTCAAATAATTGGATTACATCAAGACTATTTGTGTTTTCCTATCCATTATGTTGTTGTGAAATTTCTATTTCTAACCTTTAAATTGAATTAGTGGGATAACAAGAAGAACATTTGTTTTTTGTCCAATCCATATTTTACTAACATTTCCATTTTTAAGTTTGATTGAACAATCTGTAATCTGTAATTTTCTAAATTTCCATTTCCCATAACTGAAGGAAAGTTTCCAAACATCCTGGTCCATCATGGCGGAAAACATTTAAAAAAAATCGTAATGAAGAAGACACGTGTCAGTCACACACTAATCCAAGGGAGCAGGTTACGAGGAAATGTTGAATGGCAACTTTTCTGAATATAGTTTCACATTCACTAAAATTAGTTAAAAAAATAATCATCCTGGATGTATTGAAATTCATCGACTTGGTGACATGTTTCTTCCTGAGCTGTAACTTCCTGGCAATGCAACTCAAAGCGAGGAGCGCAAGGTGAGGTATATGATTCTCAACACCTTCCACTCGCTAAATTAGGAAAAATCTTGCTAAAACAAACTAAAAATAATATGTCATGTGTCTTACCATAGCGAAGATGAACTCTTTGACTTCCCACTGCCCAGGGATTTGAACAAGACGGCACTGGGTGCAGACTTTCTTCTTGACGATACGCCCCGTAGCTTCTGGAACGGAAAACATAATTTTGCAATTTTTAGAACAAAATGGTCACTTCAGCATAAAATCGCAGTTCACAAGTGACTCAGGGATAGTTCTGAAATTAAAATTATGTTTTAATAGTCTTAGTTTGATTACAAAAACAAAAACTAAAATTTATGAAATAACAGATTTCAACAATACAATAACAGAGTAACACTACCTTCATAACCTTGGCGAAAGTTGGTGTAAAAAATCACAACTGACCAAGCATCTCAGTGTTATATACACTGACATTATGCATGTGAAAGATGACCTGGTATGATTATACGATATCCATAACGAGGGTCCAGAAGCGATCTGTTGATAGATAGCTACCTTGAAATATCGTACACATGAAACTTGACTCCACGGGATCAACACATCCTAAATGGACGACATATTTGGATTGTTTGAAAATGAGGCTCTCTGAAAGTTGACACCTGCACCAGTAACGAGTACACCTGGATATAGGTAAGGAGGAGAAATGGAAATCTTGATCCTGTTAAAGGTCTACCTGCCTGTGGAAATTAACTTGAGGCTCCACAGGGGTGCGTGATATGGCAGCCTGTTGGTTTGTTGATTTGTACAGGGGGATTTAACTCAGAGGGGGCTTGGCTTGGGGATTAAGGATTATAATTGAAAATGGATGTTTTTTCTTGCATGTGGTTTTGTTAAATGGGTTGTTGACATTTGACATGTCTTGGAAGGGAAGGACAATTGAGGGTATATTGAAACTCAGGAAGGGGGCAGACTTGGAAGAATTGTCAGGGACACAAGGAACTTCATTAGTTCACAAAGGTAGACACGGGGGTGCTCCTAGTGGCACACCTTGGTGGGTGGGGGTGTAGAAGGTGGGGCATGGTGGGGTGCTCCTAGTGCCACACCTTGGTGGATGGGGGTGTAGAAGGTGGGGCATGGTGGGGTGCTCCTAGTGCCACACCTTGGTGGGTGGGGGTGTAGAAGGTGGGGCATGGTGCATGGGTGTGTGGGGCATGGTGGGGTGCTCCTAGTGCCACACCTTGGTGGGTGGAGGTGTAGAAGGTGGGGCATGGTGCATGAGTGTGTGGGGCATGGTGGGGTGCTCCTAGTGCCACACCTTGGTGGGTGGGGTGTAGAAGGTGGGGGTGCATGGGGCATGGTGGGGTGCATCCTGGAGCCACACCATGGTGGGTGGGGGGTGTAGAAGGTGGGGCATGGTGCATGAGTGTGTGGGGGCATGGTGGGGTGCTCCTGAGTGCCACACCTTGGTGGGGGCATGGGGTGTAGAAGGTGGGGCATGGTGCATGAGTGTGTGGGGCATGGTGGGGTGCTCCTAGTGCCACACCTTGGTGGGTGGGGGTGTAGAAGGTGGGGCATGGTGCATGAGTGTGTGGGGCATGGTGGGGTGCTCCTGGTGCCACACCTTGGTGGGTGGGGTGTAGAAGGTGGGGCATGGTGCATGAGTGTGTGAGGCATGGTGGGTGCTCCTGGTGCCACACTTGGTGGGGGTGTAGAAGGTGGGGCATGGTGCATGAGTGTGTGGGGCATGGTGGGGTGCTCCTGGTGCCACACCTTGGTGGGTGAGGGTGTAGAAGGTGGGGATGGTGCATGAGTGTGTGGGGCATGGTGGGGGTGCTCCTGTGTGTGCCACACCTTGGTGGGTGGGGTGTAGGGGGGGCATGGTGCATGGGTGTGTGTGGGGCATGGTGTAGCTCCTGATGCCTGTTGGGGGTGGGTATGATGGGCATTGGAGGATTGGAGGATGTGGTATTGGATTGGGTGGGTATTGGAGGATTGGTATGATGGGTATGGGAGGTGGGTATTGGAGGATGGGTATGATGGGTATGATGTGTATTGGAGGGTTGGTATTTGAGGGTGGGTATGATGGGTATAGGAGGGTGTGGTGTAGGGTGAGGTGGAGAGAGGGGTGTAGGGTGAGGTGCCCTGGTGGACTGTGTGGTCTGATGATGCATGAATTGTGTGTTGGAAGGTGGGTGTGGTGTTAGAGGGGGTGGGGCTATGGTGGAGGGTGGGTGTGGTGTTTGGGGTTGTGGTGGGGAGGGTGGGTGTGGTGTTAGAAGGTGTGGTATTGGAGGGTGGGGATGGTGTTTGGGGTTGTGGTGGAGGGTGGGTGTGGTGTTAGAGGTGGTATTGGAGGGTGGGTATGGTGTTTGGGGTTGTGGTGGAGGGTGGGTGTGGTGTTAGAGGGTGGTATTGGAGGGTGGGGATGGTGTTTGGGTTGTGGTGGAGGGTGGGTGTGGTGTTAGAGGGTGGTATTGGAGGGTGGGGATGGTGTTTGGGGTTGTGGTGGAGGGTAGGTGTGTGTGTTAGAGGGTGGTATTGGAGGGTGGGGGGGATGGTGTTTGGGGTTGTGGTGGAGGGTGGGTGTGGTGTTAGAGGGTGGTATTGGAGAGTGGGGATGGTGTTTGGGGTTGTGGTGGAGGGTCATGGATGGTGTGTTGTGGTGATGGGTGGTGTTGGAGATAGGGTGAGATAGGTAGTACTGGTGATAGGGTGAGATGGGTGGTATTGTTGATGGGGTGAGATGGGTGGAGGTTTGGAGACGGGCTGTGAAGGTGGGTGCCATGTATTGCTGTGAGGATGTGTTGTGTAGTCTCATGTTGTGTTGGTATTTCGATAAAGGAGAACAACCAAAGCTGATCCCTCAGCAAAATCCTTCTTCAAACATTCCCAGCATAATATCTGATCTCATGAGAATCAATGAACACAAGTCCTATACAAATACAAGCTTACACGACACAACTGAAGCCCATAATTTAAGTGGATTTAAACATTTATTTAATACGCAACAAAATAACTCCATTAGAAGATGACTAAATTTATTTAAACCAATCAAGCCTTATATACACACAAGAAATGCAGTCTTTGATAGAAATGGTGGCCCTGTAAGAACAATATTTAAATCTGAATTAAACTGGACCAGAATATCAGCTGTCGTTCATATTGATGAAACAACAACAACAACAACAACAACAACAACAACAACAGCAACAACAACAACAGTAACACCAAAGATCTACATTATTACTACACCAGTAACTGTGTCAGTGTGAGTGTCAATTTTTTAAATTCTTATATTCTTGACACCCTAGGGACTATATATCGCATGAGGGCTTAGAAAAGCTTGAAAATTACAGTTACATAACTTATGTACCAGGATGCCATTGTACAAAGCGTTCCTAGTGCTGAGATGATCATAACTCCCATACCATAACATAGACTTATGACTTATGACTGGCATAGCGCTACGGTTCGCTAACGACATCCTGGTATCCAATAACTGCTGGGTGAACAAAGGCATATTTTTCGAACAAAGCTTGAAAATTAGTCACATAACCATCTTCTCCTACCAGGTACCCAGTAACTGCTTGTAGAGAGGACCCCCACCTTTACTTCAGTATGGGTCAAAACCAAATCCCAAGAAACTCCTAGATGTCAAGCTGGTAAACACAGACACCCATCCAACTACTCTCCAACATTGAACAACTTCAACCGGTTTGTTTCCTGCACACAGGTCGCCCTGCCACCATGTCTTCTCGTTCCCAGTAGGCCATGACGTGATATTACATAATGGTAAGCTGTAAGCTTGGGTCAATGATTATACACACCACTTACAACTAGTAACAAGCACAGATGGTGCCACAATCTGCAAGAACTGGTTTAACATGATGAGGGCTTACTTTGTACTTATTATAAGGGCAATACTAGAGTGAGTGAGTGGAGTGAGTGAGTGAGTGAGTGAGTGAGTGAGTGAGTGAGTGAGTGAGTGAGTGAGTGAGTGAGTGAGTGAGTGAGTGAGTGAGTGAGTGAGTGAGTGAGTGAGTGAGTGAGTGAGTGAGTGAGGTCTTATGTCACTTTTAGCAATATTCCAATATCATGATGTAGGGACATCAGAAATGGGCTTAACACATTGTACCCATTTTGGGAATCGAACCCAGATCTTCAGCTTTAACCCCTTGGCTACCCTACCATGAAAATGGTACTGGCAGACATAAACTCAATGAGGGCAAACCAGGATTAGGATCCTCAATCACCAATCAATTGCTGTCATGTCCAAGAGAGGCAACTCTGCACAGTTATTGGCCACAATATCATAGCAATCCAGTGAGATACAATCCAGTGAGAGACAATCCAGTGAGAGCAAGGATCCATGCATTGGGGAGCAACTGACACTTGTTGCTTCCTTACTGTCACCCAGTACAATCCACACTCAGCCACCATTTTGACCACACAATCTCCAAGGTACCTTTTTCTTTCAAACAAGGCTATTAGATTCCCCATGATGACAAGTTGAAAATCAACATAATTAATTACTCGTATATTTTTATATAAACATCATCTCTATTCCACAAAACCTAATTATTGTGAAAAACTAATTATGATGAGGTCAAAAGAAGACTGAATGGTTAATTGTAATCAGTTGTCATGATGGTAGCATAATGTTTTCCTTCTCATACAAAACTCTCCTGGAAACATGGATATTAACAAGGGTCCTGAATTAACATTGGGATGGACATAAAAAAACACTGACCCCCCAAAAAATAATAATAATTTGTTGACAAATTGGGCGGTCTGCATCTGATCAGAGACCATATTATATGGTCTCTGATCTGATGCATTTTCAGAACAAGCCACATGTGTATTCTGGTTCCAAATGTGACCCACCATTAGGGAGCCTCACCACTGTACACCTACAGGTCAGCAAGCTCTTTAACCTGACAGTTCCTACACTGGCTCATGACATCTGACCCCTGACCGTGACCTTGTGCCAAGGTGACCACAGCAGCTACAGCTAACCTGGTGTCATCTTCATCAGGTCACATGACCTCATAATAATCAAAATCAGGTCACATGACCTCATAATAATCAAAATCAGGTCAAACCCTCAAAATGAAGCATAAAAGCACAAACTTATTCCTTTCAACCAATCAAACATCATATCTTGATTATATCCAAACTGGATCTACACGAAGTAAGTCCCGAAGAT